ATGTAGTTGCACAACAGCCAAAATAAGTTTTCTTTGGAATTGTGCATACAAGATTTTGAGCTAAAACCAAATTGAATTTGAAATTATATGAGTTGGGTCTGTGATCTGAGGATTATCCTCATTGCTGCACAGAAGAATTATCTCCTTGATGCACCGCTAGGTGACTGACCTGTTGCAGGAGCAGATGCAGACGTTATGAAGATTTGGCAAGCTCGATATGATGACTACTTGATAGTTTAGTGCACCATGATTTACGGCTTAGAATCGGGACTTCAAAGATGTGAGATATCCATGAGAGAATTTCCTGCACAAATTGATTAATTCTTCTTCACAACCCACACTTGCGTGGGAGGTGAGGATCTCATTTGCTTTGCCTGGCTAGGGATATTCCTTTGGTGAGTCCTGCGAGACACCTGTGTACCATGATGATAATCATATGAATAGGCATTGAAGTGGTTTCCACATACATGAAAGTAATGATTTGAAGATGTACACCTACTGAAATTCAAACCCCACAAGTAGATGGATATGGTGTGTTGTCAGTTGCACACTTGTACTCGTTAAATTGCACAGATGCAACCCAGAGTTGGTTCATTTTTCTCAGGCTTCTTTTTTGCATCATGTGCGGGTTTTGCAAGTTATATGGGAGGAGGAGCTGTTGTAGATTTGTGCACATAATTCTCATCTACAAAGTAGGATATACTATTGTGTGGAAAGATCAATGGAAAAAAACACTTGCAAACCAGATTGTTGTCTAGTTGGTAGTTATGTTTCATAGCACCTGCAACATACTTTTGTTTTTCCCCTTTTTTTCTACATGGACATCGGTTCTTTTGCATTATGTGTGAAGTAAGACTATGTGCTCTCTCCTATATATTTGCACATTTTCTGCATTTTGTTACACAAAGTGCTACAAATGTTGGCTTGTCCCATGATGTAGTTGCACAAAAATGAGTTAAAAATTGCAGAGGTAAAAAATCTCCCCGTTTTTTATCTCTATTTATGCTCTCTCAATTATAGAGAAGCTATTTTGGCAAAGAGAAATTTGGTTAGGGGGAAAGGGAAAGTCAAGGAGGGAGAATCTGAACAGGAGGAGAAAAGGATCACCTTTTTTCACCCTTATTGGTGCTACGTGGCACATTCTCATTTGTCCTCCCTCTTCTTCTTTTCACAACAAATTGTTCCAGTTCGCTGTTATTTCACTTTGATTCATCTGCCATGGCCGCTCTGACAATGGAGATCCAGACCTGGGAAACCATTGTTTCATGGGGAAGAAAGTGGGGACAGGTAAGGGCATGGGGAAAAGTGGTCAGATGCCCTGAGAGCTTCAGGAAGGGAGGGAAAAGCACGTGATGGCCTGGGGACCGTCCAACGCGTGATTTGTTGGGTTCACGCGCGGCTGTGGCTAGGGAGGAGGGATTTCCTTTTCTGGGATCGTGGGGCCCAGATCTTTCCTTTTCCGACGGCCGCTCGAGCGTGCTACCGGGCCGACGGCCGCCCGCTAGACGCGTCCTTTGTTCAATTGTATGTCTGGCCAAATGGCACATTGCTACTGTATAAAGGTTGAGATCACTGGAAAATTGCATTACTTTTTACTAAACGACCCCCCAAGAAACTTAATTCATTCACTGGGCCTCCAAAAAACAAACGACCCCTCGAGAAACTGAATTCGCTCACTGACCCTCCAAAAAACAAACGACCCCTCGAGAAATTGAGTTCGCTCACTGACCCTTCAAAAAACAAGCTACCCCTTGAGAAACTTAGAGCATCTCCAATAGTCGCGCTAAACAAGCGTCGCGCCGTAAATTTGCCCATTTTAGCGCGCGCGCAATCGGTAGAGTGTCTCCAGCGGGCGCGCAATAATCGCACGCGGCATATAGAGTTGGGCGCGCAGTCCGAATCGCCATCGTGCGCTGCGTATTTGGGGCGCCCGCTTCCGCGCGCGGCACACACGAGCGCTCGCGCCGCACTCTCTCCCCGCGCCACCTTCGCCCCGCACGCGCCGGCGCCGGTGAGCTGACCTGATGGACGCATGCGTCGGCATCCCCCTCACCCCATCCTAGAACCGCAAACCCTCCATCGCCGCTGCCGCCGCCGCAAACCCTAGTGCTGGGAGCGTTGGCCTCGCCTCCGCCGGAGCTCCTCCGAGCATCTGCCTCGCGCGCGGCCTCTTCATGTCGCTGCGCATGACCTCCGCGGCTGGTGGCATCGCGCCGGCGCCCGCCGTGATGAAGCCACGTGCACCCCCCCTCGAAGCTCCCAAATGCGGCGCGGCCGAAGAAGGGCAAGACATCCGCGAATAAGAACAAGGCGGCGGACGGCTCCGGCACCTCGAAGGCGCCGAGGAAGAAGCTTGCAGGGCGTATGATGAGCGCGGTGGCTATTGAAGCACCGGCGAGCTCACTTGTTGAGCCGGCGGCCGACGCACACAATGTGTTCGACGATATGCCCCAAAGGTAAAAAAATCCCCAACTTTTTTTCCTTCTTATTTTTTGAATGCATACATATAGATAGCTTATTGCATTGTTCTATATACTTTGTAGTGTGAACGATGATGCATACATGTCAACTATGGGTGTTGGCTCGAACAATTCGCATTGGTCTCAAACCAATGACATGCATTTTGAAGACCATGAGTTCGAGGTGGACGAGGATGGTGATGGCATTGTCGACGCACCGAAAGGAAGAGGAGGCAACTACACCAACGACCCAGACATTGTGCTATGCAAAACTTGGTTGGGCGTGTCGAGGGATCCATCCGTTGGAGGTGATCAAGGTAGAGATGCTTATTGGCTCCGAATGAAAGAACACTTTGATCTTCGCAACATGAGTAGAATTGACCGCTCCGCACAATCGCTTCGCTCCCGGTGGTCGACCATCAATAGGGATTGTCAATAATGGGCGGCCGCACAAAAAGCGGTTGATAAGTTGAACCCAAGTGGCACCAATGATGACGATAGGGTAAGTGTCATTTCATCATTCCTCATGTTCATCATGCTTGTTGTTGGTGTTTCTTGTGCTAACTTGTTTTGTTTTCATGTAATTAAATATTGCACAAAACTTGTTCAAAGGAGAGGAGAAGAGGACCAAGAAGGGGAAGATCAAGAAAGGAAGGTCATTTACCTTGCCTCATTGCTATGAAGTATTGAAGGATGATGAGAAATGGAAGAAGCATGAGGATATTGATGATTTGGATTTGAGCAAAAAATGCAAACGAACAATTGATTTGGAAGATGAGGAGGAGGAGGATGCATCAAGTGAAGATGGCAAGATAAGCCCCACATCAAACTCGGTTTCATACTCGAAGCCAAAACGACCGGATGGCACGAAGAAAGACGCAAAAGAAAAGAAGAAGAGGAAAAGAGATGATGAGCTCCAAAATGCTATGGAAGCAATTGTCAACGCAAGAAAAGAAGCCAACGAGGCGAGGAAAATGGCAAGGAACCAAGATGTCACAACCGAGGAGAGGAGATTGGCGGCCGAGGAGAGGAGGGTGGCGGCCGAGGAGAGGAAAGTGACATTGGAGGAGAGGAAGGTGGGCATGAAGGAGCGTGCTAAATTGTTGGAATGGGAGAAGCACTTGTCCTTCTTGGACACATCTTTGTTCAATGATGCGCAAAAGGAGTATGTCAACCTTGCCCGTGAAGAAGTCTTGATCCAAAAAAGTGCCATGATTCGCACAATGGGTGGCGGTGGCCTTGGCGGCATGGGTGGCGGTGGACTTGGCGGCATGGGTGGTGGTGGCATTGGTGCCATGGGTGGCTTTGGAGCTACCATGGAGACCATGGGAGGCATGGGTGGCTTTGGAGCACCTCCGGGCGGCTTGGACGGCATGGGTGACATGGGTGGCATGAGTTTTGTGTCTCTCATTGGGGTATGGGTGCACCTCCGGGCGCCGGTGTGCCACCTTCGCATGAAGATGTCGTTGAACATCTTGGCAACACCTTCCAAGCTTCACGTGATGAGGATACGGCGCGCAACAATGAAGAGGAGGAAGAATCATCTTCGGAGGAGTCGGATGAATCAAAGGAAGATGAGGATGAAGACGAGGACGAGGCATGATTGTTGTGCCTTTCGTTTGTTTCTTGAACTTGGTTGAATTATGTTGTGGGCATGAACTTGAACTTGTGGGCATGAACTTTTGGGCACGAACTTGGTTGAATGATGTTTGTGATTCAAATTATATGCCATGTGTTTTGTGTTGATGTGTGAAATTTGTGCCCAAAATGATGAGAACAAATGTAGGCGCCGGCTGCTCGCGCGCTACATTTTAGCGCGGCTGCTGGAGCCAGCGCTGCGCAACGCGTCAAACCTGGTAATGAGCACGCCGCAAACCAGATTTTAGCGCGCCGCGCGTTGGGCACCTGTTGGAGATGCTCTTAATTGGCTCAATGACCAGACAACAAACTAACTTCATGTTCAGCTTTGGCGCAATGATGATTAGCACCAGATGCACTTACATGGCCGCAACGACACAATTTTCAGTACAGTAGCGTGTTCACCGTTGACAATGCAAGTCAGTTTGTGCAGAAATATAATTTGACATAAAGCAACTTGCCCATGAAATATACTACCCCCGTTTCGATTTACTCGTCGCGGTTTTAGTTCAAATTAGTAGAAGATAACATACGGTAAACATGTCGCAGAAGGAAATATGGTATGGGGGCGTGCCATGTCGATTAACAGTTATATGCCTTCCAAGGCTAAAAAACGCTATCAGTAGTTTCTCTATTGCGCTTACCAAAATCTCACAGGCAATGCGGAATAGTGGATGCAAGTCAAATTGAGCCCATGGTTACTTCTCGTCATCACAACAAAAGCGCTTACATATATCTGGCAAAATCATGGTTATTTCCCCGGCTATCACAACAGAACTGCAACCAAAACTGAATTAAACCAGGGACCCGGTCTAGGGCAAGTAACAAGCGCGCGACATATCAGAGACGTGTACTTCTTTCCTGTTTGTTCTACAACAATATCTCTTTCTTGTGGCCAGATAATCACCTGGTACCCCTCCCTTTGGGGTTGCCTTTGCCTTTTCCTTTACCTTTACCAAACCCTTTGGCGTTCCCTTTTCCGCCCCCTTTCCCTTTCCCGTCTGGTCTTCGGCTCTTCTGGGATCTACTGTCTTGGAATTTATCGTCCCTTCCAGATCCATTAGGCCTCCTGTTTTTCTGGAACTTCCCGGGAGATTTACCGTCTTTTGCAGATTTCTCGTTCCTCCGCAGATTTTGCATCGCCTTTTCCTGCCTGCCCTTCCGCATCTGTTGGGGATTTCTTATCTCTGATGGCACATCAGCATTTGGTATAGACGAACGTCCGCGACCGGCTGCAGGGTATCTTCTGTTTCCTCTTTGATAGCCAGCTGGAAAAGGTCATAGCATCAGGCCATGTTACATATGACAGTAATGATATCCAAGTTACGGAATTAACAGTTTAAACAAACCAAACTAACAACACAACTGTGGCGAGAATATGACAAGAAAGAGATTTCAAGTGGATGCAAACATATAAGACATACGCAAGCAGTAAGCATATGGTGTCAAGGCTTATCCCGTTGCAGTGAAATATGGTCAGCATTTTTTCACCAGAGTTGCTTTAACTATACTCAGGTTTTCACTACACCTCAAATAACGCACATCAAAACATTTCATGACACGTTGGCGCATGGTGGCAATAGGGGGTTGATGACTGCCTCACCCATAGCTACTTGATTGATTCATTCTATTCGTGATTCCCAATTCGCTACCTCACCCGAATTGGGTCCGCTAAGGGGGTATACATCTCTGATTCGTGAATCTAGATCGGTGTTCAGAGTGTGGTTTAGTGAATCTGGTAACTATGGTCTGACCTGGAGAGAGGGGATGATCATGAAAGAAGATGGGGAAAGGTGGAGAGATGAAAGGGAGAAGAAAAGGAACCAAACTAACATGTGGGGCTATCTTTATTTTGTCGGACGCAACTGAATGTTTTGTCTACCGTCAAGCTACTTCATTATCTAATAATAGTCCATTGGACTTTGCAAATGACACAATTCAGGCGGCCCAAAATGTAATTTTTCAAGTTTGGCAAGCTAAGTGGAAAAGCACACAACTTACAAAGCTCTAGTGTAATTTGCTTCGAGTACAAATACAAAGAGAAACCAGATCAAGGATGAGAATCATCAATCTGTTAAATAAGATAAGCCTCCCTTGGGCAATTATCACAATTGCCATTCCTGTGGCAAAAGCAAAATTTTCAGAGTGGCAACTGTGATAATTGTCAAAATCTAAGAGTGGCAAAAATGAAATAAAATTATTTTGCTTTTGACACAGAATGGCAATTGTGATAATTATCAAAAGCTAAGAGTGGCAGAAGTGAAATGTCAAAATCTAGAGTGGCATAAGAAAAGTTGGCAAAATCTAGAGTGGCAAAAACAAAATTTTCCCATATATTTAACTGACTGAATAAGTGAATGCACGCACAGCTTCAATGAATTCTTTTTGACAAAATAAAAATGTGTTAGCATGCCAAACTGTAAAGCTGGGACATGCTTACCATACATGTATTTCTCAGAAAACAATTGTGGACGAATAGGAAAGCTAAAACAAAATTCAAGTGATTGGATGCGTATATAAAGCTTTATTGAAGATGATAGACCCAACAAGAACAAAAGTTAGCTAAAAACAGCTTTGCAGGAAATAAAATAACCAGATTGATGAACTATAATGGACTTCGTATAAAATTTACAGCAAAAAAAAAGACAATCACATGTAATACAAGAGGACAAATAAAAGTTGGTTACCTGGTGTGGATGAGCCTCCTTCTGCACCATCTTTTCCACCAGAACTGATTGCTCTATGTGACTTCTGCTGCCATTTCTTATAGATATCTTTACTTGCCTTTAACTTTGCACTGCTTTCCGTTTTAATCTGATCACAATAACAGTAATCAGAAGTTTTAAAATTACGCCAACTGCTCGTCTAGACTCTAGATTAGGTAAGACATGTCTACAGAAATAATCTAGGTAGGTAAACAATAGAGCGCCATATTATAAAGTCTCCGTACACACCTCAAAACCACGGATACGTGTTTGTTATTGGTTATTGCTGGCCAGCAGGTAATCTGCTGATCCTAGCAGCTACACGCACTTTTGATTTTTTTTAAATAGTACACGTATTGGCACTTTCCTAAAATTATGTATTTACATCCGTGTCGGTGCAACTTAGGTACACGGTATATGCTAAGAAGATATGCAGTATTGCACATCTGAAATAGGCCTTCTACAACACATGACTAATATATCAAAATTCCTCAATATATTGTTTTGGAGTAAATGTTACACTTTGGGAAATGATATTCCTGTTATTATCAACTATAAGCTGAAAGAAATATGTATTGTGTCCAATGAAAACTCTAACTACTCATAATCAACAAGTTATACCATTTAGATAGGAGCCATGTATAACACTCATATAGTTCTATTTTTCATAGTACAAGGATGTACTAAAATTTCAAATCATATTCTTCAGCATTGAAATAATACCCTCTTGTTGGAGATTTACATGTTTTACCATAATAATCCAATTCCAGATTGTTCACATTAGATCATTACAAAACCAATCCTGGCATCAGAACATATATTTTTGGAAGTGCAAATACCACTTCCAATAGTTTGTTCCAGAAAAATTGAACACAGATAAACAGCACCAAACTTCCAAGATATTAACAACTGGACAGGCACATATTTTAAGCTGTCAAACTAGAAGGAAAAGGATTAGCTGCTCACATCTAAATTATGAAATTAAATTAGCGATCACAGTTTATACACATCTAGCACAGTAGCACTGTAAACATGGTACAGGAAGAAACTGTATCGAGAAGATGTACCTTTCCTGTAGAAGTGACACGATCCCCATTATTCAACTTGACAAACTTGTTCTGCAACAATAAAGTAAGGATTAGCATGACCAAACGTGAATTTGCATATTGCAGATCGATATGTTGCTAGGAAAAGTTATACCTTCATCCAGTGATATCGAGTTTTCTGGGCTTGCATTCCAGAAGTTTCATCATCGACTAAATCAAGGACAGCAGCATCCAATCTGTACACATCATTAAGCTTTATTCAAACTTTCAAAGTGGCATGGTGTTGAAACTGCAGACCTATTTCATGAATAATGAGAGCAAATTTGGATACGCCAAATTAATTTGCAATGGAAGCTTTATTCAAAGTGGCATGGTGTTGAAACTGCAGACCTATTTCATGAATAATGAGAGCAAATTTGGATATGCCAAATTAATTTTCAGTGGAAGCATGGGCCAAAATTTCTTAGAACTGAACGGCAGACCCTACTCAGTGTCATATTTTTAAATAACAGTTAGTCCTGTTGTACTTTCGGCTGAATCATGACCACACTATTAATGCTGGAGAGCAGGCAAGAATAACACAAAAACACAAGTGTTAATGGGCATTCAACAAAAAGTAAGCACATTCAACATGATGATACAACTTGTAGTTAAAACCAGGGACGATATGACCTGTGGTAAGCCACCGGTTATCTGTCCTGCTGGCTAAACCGTAAGTTCCATATGCACAGGATGATGTGATCTGATCTCAAGCTAATTTTATGAAATCTTGATGTTTATGATTATAGAAGACAAAAAGGTAAAGAAGAATAGCAAACAGAAATTGACTGGGAACTGATCATTTCCTACGGCTATTGATAGTGACTCACTTCACATCAAACAAAGTGTCAATTGTATATCAGGAAACGTGCACAGCATACCTATCTTGAACAAATCCTTCATTTCCCTTTACTGACAACCCAGCTTCTGAATGCTGAAGGGGGAAAGGAATAGTGAAATCAAAATTATGCAGAAATGCTAGTGCAGTAAAAATTAAGAAGGATATTTCTCTTTAAGCTGCATACTTGGTTTTGAGGCACTGAACTTATGTAGTGATCCTCATCTCTAAAGCTCTGTGACTTCCGCTTCTTACCACAAACTTCTGAAATTGATAGATAACAAAAATATTATAATCACCATAACAAGAGGGGATGAACTTTTTCTAGGAATAGTGTTACAGAGCTCAAGATGCACTTTGACGTTGAAACAGCAATGACAGGTATTAATCTCACTACACTACACCTCACAGGAAGGAAAAGAAATGTAGACCTTTTTTCTCCCAATTAGAAATGTTTTCTGTATCTTCTTCCTGCATAAAATATAGCCATAAATCACTGCACAAAGCATAAGAACAAAGTAGCATATTCAATGTGGCACTCGCAGAAGAACGAATAAAGGTAGGCTTATTAACATTAGAGTGTTATGCTGTCCATTAATCTATAACTTTTGAAGGGATAAGTGGAAACTGTTCATAAAAACGCAGAATAGGCCATATACACAGAACTGGTGTGTAGTGGATACCAGAACAAGTACTGGTCACAAACGAAACTATCAACCTACAAAAAAATATGGAGCAAACAAACAAATTCACTTCAAATGGAACTGGCATGATTGATGCATCCACTGTGTGTTTCATCTAAATGAAATTTCAGAATACATGAATAAATATTGCTCCATCGCTGCATGAAGTTGAATTGCTAAATTACCAAGGCCAAATTATTCAGAGCATTCAATAAAAGTAAATATTGCAGACCAAACGACTAAAGAAAATCACAACCAAGACTACCATCTGCAAATTTCAGAACACGGAACATGAATGTGCTGCAGTTTTAAACAAATCAAAGACACGTAACAAGTGCTTATGAGGCCATTTTTGAGTCACAAAGACAACAGTCACGAAAAGGTATTGACCTTCGAGGCCAGTGCAATATATTATTGCTAATCAGCTATGCAAGAAATGAATTCTCCACTTTAGTTTGTTCCAGGCATCTTTGCTGGAACAACCAATCTTTTTAGGGTTAACTTTCCATACAGATGATAAGGCACACCAAAGTAGTATAATGGTTAGGCTAATACTACACCTTAACCCAGTAAAAATTGTCATATGTAGCATTTCAAGGTACATTAAGTGTATCAAGTGAGAAGTTGAGAACAAACAAAGGTACTACATATGACACCTTCTCATATGTCAGCACTACATATCTATGTGGTGGTTTGCAACTTGCTATGCTTAAATGAGAAGTTGAGAACAAACAAAGGTATGACTTCAGAGTAATAATTACCTTTGTTGCCAGATCACCAGACTGTTCATGCACCAAATTTATTATCCCCTCATGGACTTCTCTTTTCTTCTTCATCACATCTAGCCATTGATTGCTACCCTACAAGGGAGAAAAGATGGTCGTGTTAGTTTCAAAAAAGATACGGTGATATGTAAATATATGTACTGTTTGCCTGAACCACATCTGGAATGCCTAAAAATCATATGAAAAGTTGGTTCCAGCATTAGTCAAGTTCAAGTAATCAGATCAGAGTTATTAGTATACTAAGTTAGTAACTGCATGTTGTTTGGTAATACACCAATTTGGCCACTATTAGTGAGTAAAAGGATTCATGTCACTTCACAGTCCCAAATAATCCAGTTGGGAATCGACATATAGAGATTTAATCTCATTTCTTAAATTTGTTCTCCTCTTCTATGCCCCCACCCCTCCACCCACCCACCCAAATAAATGAAAATGTTCTGATTGCTGAGGCAGTCCCTGCCGCAGCTGACTTAGGCACACTATGTGTTGTTTTTGAAACACTCTCAACTCCTAGCAGCGGTGCTGGATGTCGAACGGTCGACTCTTCTGCAAATGCTGCTGTTGCAGAGGGCATCAAATTTCAGATGAAGATGTGGTTCTCTAAATGCGAGGTGTGGGCTTGTCGGCGTGCGGCGAATACTGTAGCGAATGAACTGGCTAAAATCGGAAGCCCGTGCGAGGCTGATAGTTTCCTGTGTTGGGAATATGATGTTCCAGCCAAAGTGGCTGTTCATGTAATGGGCGATTTGCCCAACTGTTAAGTAATTAAAGCTATTGCTTTCCCTCAAAAATACCTACATGTTTCTGCAATGCAGAACCAGTAAGAAACTCTGCCACAAAGGGCATGTGCCATTAGAAGCTCCATTTTCCATGCCCTTACAAGTTAGCTTAAGCAGTAATCAAGTATTCAGATCAGAGCTACTAGTATACTAGCTGCATGTTGCAGACGTAGGAGAATAACTTAATATGATGCTGAAATTTCTCAAACTAAGGAAATAAGATGAAGCAATGCATTACTTTAGAACTTCTTGATTTAGCAGCTTCACCTTCAGCCTCTAGAATAGTCTGCTTTGGCCTGACAAGCATTAAGAATGAAAAAGGACCATTAGATTGCACAAAGCGAGTAAATACAAGCAAAACAAAGAATTGCTAGATGAAGAACCTACCGAAATGATTTCAGCCGCTCCGAGAACGCAATTGCTGAAATTTCATCTGGTCTAAGAACATCTCTGAACATTGGATGAAGACCTTCACGAGGCAAATCTTTTGCTCTTCTAACAGATTCTTTTGAAGGCATAGCGCGGGTCTTCAGATACAACCGGAAAGCATTAGCGCATGGCTTTTCCAATGCAATCAGATCTGTGCATCCACTGATGACTTCTTTTACTCCATCAGAGCAAAGATCAAGTATTGTCTGAGGAAAACGGCCATATATCGTTTCCCCATCAGCAAGACTTTGGTTGATTTTTAAATTCATTCCATCCATGTCTTTCAGCAGTTCCTCCTCCGTTGGAGCAGGTCTAAGAGGTTTTGAAAGAAAGAGATGTAGGTCCAGTAAAAATGGCATGTCCTCTGAAGTGACAAATGTAAATGCTGTACCAGTTCTACCTTGCCGAGCTACTCGGCCAACTCTATGAATAAATAACTTCGGTTTAGCAGGAAAGTCCCAGTTCACTACATTGTCAAGCAATGGAATATCCAGACCCCTTGCAGCAACATCTGTCACTATAAGTAGCATGGTCTTCCTTGCCCTGAATCTTGAAATGTGAATAGTGCGGGCTTCTTGATCCATGGCACCATAGGAAAGGGAAGCTTCTAAGCCTTCTTCTCGGAAAAGAATATTCAAGAACTCTACATGATACTTCGTTGAAACAAATATCATTGTCTGCTCCTCAGAGCTGATACGCTCCCGGACCAAATACAGCAAAGCAGCTAGTTTCTCTTCCTGACGCAGTGTGAAAAAGGCAAGCTTCAGATCAGGGCTGATCTTTTTGTCCAAATCAAGTCTTATGACTTGAGGATCACGCAAGCCAGCTTTTGCGAATTCTGCGAGGGCTTTCGGCATAGTAGCACTGAAGAGCAATGTTTGCCTTGTATCACTCAACTTGTGTAGAATTTTGTGTAACTGCTCAGCAAACCCCAAGCTAAAAAGGGAATCCGCTTCATCAAATACAACATATTCTACTGATCGCAGTGACAAGTCATCAACCATTGACAAGATGTGCTCAAACCTACCAGGTGTTGCAATTATTATATCAGGATTATCAGCCAATACTTCAAACTGACTCTCCATACTACCTCCACCAACAATTAGGCCAGTTTTTAGATCTGCAGAAAAGACAAAATTAAATAGTTCATCAACACTTGTAGCTTTTGTTTTGTAGCTGCATAGGAGTACAATAGTGTTTTCCAAACTATTCTACACCCCTAGTAAAACTGTGTGCAAAAAGTAGTAGTTCTGAAATAATTGTTCACCATCCAAGTCACTTACATTTCCCAAAAAATACTCTATGATGCATATATTATTTACTATATTTTGTGAACTTGTAATAGGTGGTGTAGAATAACCTATTCCAAACTATTATGAGGGTTCAATCACCACTAACAATTTACTCAAACACCATGTTTCACATCACTTCATATCTCAAAGTGGCTATAGTGACATAATGCATGACAAGTACAAGATCAGTTGTAATAAATTTTACACACATGGAACTCTTGGGCACAATAATAACCAGTGACACTGAAACACTTATGCTATCCATAACACTAAGCATATTTATCACATCCATACATGAAGCAAAGTGACATAGACTGTTCTAAGTACCGATGGCGATGATATCATACAACATCAAAGTCTCAAATTGCCACTAGCTAGAATAGAAAGGAGAAACGAGGATCCTGAGACGGCATGGTTATGAGAGCGGTACGCACCGGAGAACTTGCCGAGCTGGTGGGTGAACTTGAGCGTCTGCGTGGCGAGGTCGCGGGTGGGGGAGAGGATGAGGGCGCGGATGCCGGCGCCGGGGTCGCGGTGGCGGAGGCGCTGGAGCATGGGCACGAGGAAAGCGGCGGTCTTGCCGGAGCCCGTGCGGGCCATGGCGGCGACGTCGAGGCCCGCGAGGATGAGCGGCATCGCCTTGCGCTGGATGGGCGTGGGCACGCGGTAGCCCTTGTGGCGCACCCCGCGGTAGACCTCCTCGCAGAGCCCCATGGACTCGAACCCGCCCGACTTGGGCTTCTTGTTGTGCGCCGCCTGCGCCGCCTTCTTCTTTCCCGCCGCCTTCGACTTCATCTGCGGCCGCCTCCACGGCTTGCGGTCCGCCGTGGAGGCGGCGGCGGCGGCGTCGGCGGAGGGGCTGGACTTGCCGCTGGGCGCCATGGGTGGGATGCGGGGACGGGGGGCGGCGGAGGGGGGACGGGGGATGGTTTGGGTTCAGGGCTTTAGGTCTCAGCCACGGCGGCGAGATGGCGTGCGGGCCTGAGGAGGAGAGGAGGTGCTGGTGACTTTGTGGACCGGGCTGGACTTATCTGGCCCAAAAGGACCAGCAGCACGAATTGAAATTTTGATCATGGACCGGCCCATATTATCCCAACGGGTTTCATTCACAAAACTAAGGTTTTTTTTATCTCTATACTACCCTAAAAAAACATAGCGTTCCGTTTCCCGTCTTACGTCTTCTCTTTCGTCGAGCCCTCCCGCACCCGCGAGGCCGCGATTGGTTTTTCTTCACGTCCTTCCCCACGGTTTTCCATGGAAACCCCTCCTCAAAAAAGCCCCACGCCCGATTGATTCCCTGCCCTATCCCACTTGAGATCCCGCCGTCGCCGCCGCCTCCTGCATCTCGCGAACGGCACGATGAGGCGCACTCCCGATCCACGACCTCCAGCCAGCGACGCCCCAAGTTCATGTTGGGCGCGGCCCAGGGAATCACCGTTGCGGCCCATGGCGTCGAGGATGGGTGGGCGAGAGGTCGTGCACTCCCGGCTCCCGGGGCTACCGCCGCCGGGCTCGTCTTGCAGGCAGACGTGGTGTTGATGCGGCCGCTGCCCACGCCCTATTCTTCTCCCTCTCCCTCTGAGTTCATGCTCCCCTACATCTTCCCCCGATTCTTGAGGTCAATCATGAGGGACTCCCAATTTTTGAACATATATGTTGCTTGTTGTGCTGCAACCTATGGGTCGTTGAGGTCGGGTGTGGCAACTCGCGATGCGGTGCAGTAGGGCACCACCAGCGACAACGTCACCTGTATGCGCGACCAAGCTCCAAAGGTCACCGTTGGAGTAGGTGTTGCGGATGGCATTTGAATATTTGAGAACCCTTTCCAGCAAGTGACAACTTGATAACGAGCATGGCTGAGAAGCGGTGGTTTCACATGATCCGTTCATTTCTTCCGACTATTCTTTATCTTATTTCTCTATTTGGCAAAGATAGGTCTTTTCTGCGTTGTCTTGCTTTAGTTTTGTATAATCGTCACTCCCATACTTCCTTGTAGTGTTAGCATATGACCAACAATTTACAGGGCGTAGCTCATTTCATGTTGCCTTGCAGATCCATTTTTACCTGCTTCACTGCCTTGACTTGATTGGGCCATCATCATGTAACGCTCATGATGCGGCTATATCTCCCACGTGTTGAGGCACAATTTGGAGGCATAACCGCATTGTGGTTTTATCGCAAGAAGGGTCATCTTCACACAATCCCATGTAATGAATAAGAAAGGGATAAATAGAGTTGGCTTACAATCGCCACTTCACACAAATATCATATAATCATTCGTCATTCAGAGTACATACATAGTCCGACTACATGCAAGCCAAAAGAAAAGAAGATAACCCAACTGCTAGATCCCCGATCGTCCCAACTGGGCTCCACTACTGATCAACATGAAACGATACATAGCAACGACCAAGGTCTTCGTTGAGCTCCCATCTGAGCTCGGTTCCATCACCTGCACTGGTATCATCGGCACCTGCAACTGTTGTGATAGCATCTGGTGAGTCACGAGGACTCAGCAATCTCAAAACCCGCGAGATCAAGACTATTTAAGCGTATGGATAGGAAGTGGTAATGAGGTGGAGTTGCAGCAAGCACTAAGCAAATATGGTGGCTAACATACGCAAATAATAGTGAGAAGAGAAGCAACGGAACGGTCGAGAAGCTAGAAGTGATCAAGAAGTGATCCTGAAACTACTTACGCACAATCATAACACAAAGATCGTGTTCACTTCCCGGACTCCGCCGAAAAGAGACCATCGCGGATACACAAGCGGTTGATGCATTTTAGTTAAGTCAAGTGTCAAGTTCTCTACAACCGGACATTAACAAATTCTCATCTGCCACCGTAAGAATTGAAAATGAACAAAGGAAAGGATAACGAAACACCGGGAAGAATTAGAAAACGAACGAAGGTAGATTTTAGATACAAGAGAAGGAAGAGATCACAAGCTGATTAGAGAATACTTGAATGATACACTAGTAAGATTTGGAGAACGAGAGCTGAAGACTGGAATGAATAATTCTGAGATGATGGGCTCCGGAGAATCAAACTGAAAAGACTCCTGAATTGCTCCGGATGGGTATGAAAGGAATTCTCGCAATTGAAAACAATTATGAGAGAACGGACCAAGATTTGAGAGAAACTCTTCTTAGGTCTTCAAAATCCGAGAATGACGATGAGAAACACTACCATGAATTGTTGAGGCACTCCAGAATGAAAATTAGAAAGGTTGAACCAACGATGGAAAGAATTTGAAATATCTTGGAGAAAGGCATTTGACTGATGAAAATTCATTCTTACGTCAAACTTTGAAATGAATTTGAGAATAACTCCGGAAAAAATTAGAAGAGTCATGTAAGATCCTGGGAAAAGACCTGTGGGTTAGGGCCCACTCAAAAGAACCATCACTGAAGGATTGCTTGAAATAGAGATTGCACCAGTAGAATTAAATAGCTTGAATGAGAGAAAAACCTCGAAGTACTCGAATGGATTAAGAATGGAAACATGATTCTTCTGAGATATCTTTAGCACTTCAGATAGGAATAGAGAGAGGTGAGCAATTAAGAGGTGCACCGGCATGGGAAAACATTTGAAACGGGGAAAGGATATGCTTGACAAAGCTTGAATTGGATCCACCGAAGAAGAAAAGAGAACGAAGAATAATAAACTTGAAGCTCCGTTAGTATCTTTTTGAGAATCACCGGATAAGAGCATTGATGGAAAAGAATGGAGAGACTTCCCATCAATAAAAGGATACTTGATTATGAAATCTGAGTCCTTGAAGAAAAGGGTGGGAGGGCGGGAAAAAACAAAGGCAACTTGGGATGGAGGAAGAAACACCGTTGAGAAAACTTAGAAATGATCTTGCGGATGTTGAAATGATCGGATCCACTTGAAGAGAAGCACGCCGGTTGGAAAAGAATTAACATGACGACCTCGATGATCAAGAAGGATTAGTATTCACATAGCAATATGAGAACACCGTTTAGGAAAGGTATGGATTCAACATTTGACTTCGAAGCAACTCGATTACCACAAATAAAACAAAACAAAGGATTGGCTTGTAGAATAAGCTGGAACAAATACATATGATAGAGATTTACCCAATCCCATATCATGCATCTGGCGGAAAGATATTCTAGGAGCTACTTGAATTCCCACCTATAAAACTCCCGAAACTTTCTGGTTATGCAATCAGGTGTTGGGGATACAGGGGAAGCAATATATCTCACCCAAACTAACAATCCCTACATCCAGTTGTATCCATCCGTCAACACATAACCAAGAAACCTTCAGAAATCGTGTACCTTAGCCTTCGAAAAGCATCCATTATATGAGCTATGGCAATACTCCCGAACTCCCCAGTACTGGGTGGCGTCGAGGTTATCTTACCACTAGCTGCATAAAAGAGATTTTCGATGTCGGCGAAACTCAGGTATTCCAGAACTGCAACGATAAAATTATGACGACAACACCTCGGAGCTCAACTCCCCGGGACACTGCCACAACCCCTAAATGTCAGGAGGCACCAAGAATAATGTTCTCGTCATAAGAATATCGGAACGATCCCAAGATACCCGCGTGATCCTAAATTTTTTTAGTGAAATTTGAGGCGAGGAAAGACAAAACATCTACGTCAGGAGGCCTTACCAAAGCGACGAAGGGACTGAGGAGTAAAAAGAATCCTACTCTCCGATATATATAATCCTAAGACTCAAAACGTTCTTGTTCTAGACTCAACAACGCCAGCGATTCGATCAAGCAGGGGCTCCTAAGTCGGGGATGGCTCTGATTACCAACTTGTAACGCCCAGGATGCGGCTATATCTCCCACGTGTCGAGGCACGACTTGGAGGCATACCGCATTGTGGTTTTGTCGCAAGAAGGGCCATCTTCACACAATCCCATGTAATGAATAAGAAAGGGATAAATAGAGTTGGCTTACAATCGCCACTTCACACAAAGATCATATAATCATTCATCATTCAGAGTACACACATAGTCTGACTACGGACAAGCCAAAAGAAAAGGAGATAACCCAACTGCTAGATCCCTGATCGTCCCAACGGCGCTCCACTACTGATCAACATGAAACGATACATAGCAACGACCAAGGTCTTCGTTGAGCTCCCATCTGAGCTCGGTTGCATCACCTGCACTGGTATCATCGGCACCTGCAACTGTTATCATAGCATCTCGTGAGTCGCGAGGACTCACCAATCTCAAAACCCGCGAGATCAAGACTATTTAAGCTTATGGATAGGAAGTGGTAATGAGGTGGAGTTGCAGCAAGCACTAAGCAAATATGGTGGCTAACATACACAAATAAGAGCGAGAAGAGAAGCAAGGGAATGGTCGAGAAGCTAGAAGTGATCAAGAAGTGATCCTAAAACTACTTACGCACAATCATAACACAAAGATCGTGTTCACTTCCCATACTCCATCGAAAAGAGACCATCAAAGATACACACGCGGTTGATGCATTTTAGTTAAGTCAAGTGCCAAGTTCTCTACAACCGGACATTAACAAATTCCCATCTGCCACATAACTGTGGGCACGACTCTCAAAAGTTTATACCCTGCAGGGGTGTCCCAACTTAGCCCATCACAAGCTCTCACGGTCAACGAAGGATATTCCTTCTCCCAGGAAGACCCGATCAATCTCGGAATCCCGGTTTACAAGACATTTCGATAATGGTAAAACAAGACCAGCA